GAAGCTTACAAAAGTATAAGTATTTTTAGAAATTACTAATGAGAGAAAGTATAATGATCAAGTGAAGGAATATTCTGTATATTGCTGTTTTAATTTTATATGCAACAGAGCAGGAAACATTAACTGAATTCTGGAATTTGTTCTGTTTAATTGAAAGGAGAATTAAAATGCCTATATGAAAGTAGTGCTTATATGTTTTATCCTTAGAAGTAGCAGAATCTGTAATAATAATGGGTTTCATCCTTATGCTTGTTAAATATCTCAATCTCATTGTTAGTTATTTTTTGATGCTTATGTTTCTTTTATTATGCAAAAGACTTTAATTTCTGGCTTTAATTTCTTAATTTTAGAATAGCGTAGAGGACAGTGATCGACCAAATGGTTCGAGAGAGGATTTTTCAAAGTCTGATGCTATCAAAATGCAGCTTTTGAGCGCAAGAAGTGAAAATGTAAGTTTACCCACACATGCATTTATTTACTTGTGAACTTTACGGTATGGTCTAAACATAACAAAGACTGAGGTAATAAATGATTTATTGGTAATGTCAGTAACAATCTCTATTTAATGGGATCTTAACATAAATTATGTATATAAATCTTAACAATTATGTATATAAATCTTAACATAAATTATGTATATAAATTATATATATATAACATAAATTATGGAAATTTTGAATAATTTCAGGATATTGTAGCAGGTCCTGCTTATATACCATCAGGATCGCGGCCAAGTGTTTTATCTATTAAATCCAATAATCGTGGTATGGTGAGACAACGTGTCAACCATTTTGCTCGGTTGGGAACACAAAGAACTATAGCAGAACAGGTACACTCATTTAATTTATAAAATTCATTAGTTTGCTTGCTGCATTCTTCATTTTCTTCAAAGTAGCATCCACACTTTCATATCCAGTGTATTCGAAGTAAAATAGTTTGTGCTTTAGAGTTCCAAAACAGGACGTCAGTGTCAACATGGCAAATATGCTCCCTCATCTCTTCAAAAACTTTCTGCTCCTCCCGCTTCACATAGTTTGCAACCGGTTGTTGGAAGAAATGTGTCCCCTCCATCGCGGGAGATCGTGATGAGGCGAGCCAAAAAATTTGAAGGTAAGATTTTTTTTTGAATAAGCATTGTGCTTGTAAGTATGCATCAGCACACTTGATAAGACTTTCACAAAACATACCATGAAATGCATTATTCGCAGAATATCCGAAATTCATTTCACTATCTGCCTATCTGACACTTTAATGTATATCATGTTACTGTCAGTGGGGTTTTTTTTAATTCACATTTTATCGTACGTGCTAAATGTCAAGTGTCATTGGAATGTTCTGTTAAATATCACGTTTTTTTCGTTTTTTCGTTTTTTTTCGTTTTTTCTGTAACCAGGTCCTGATGAAGTAATTCATATATTCCGTCAAATGTTACTGGTGAGACGTTTTATGACACTACTGACGATTAACCTAACAGTGTTTGGGATAACGTTTGGGATAACATTAACCTCCACGAAAGTATTTGGGATAACATTCGGGATGCACTGCTAGCAAAAGTGATTGCACAACTCCAAATCCACTTGTCGTTTTCAGTTAATTAACAGTGAGGGACGGCATTAAAGCAAATCTTTCATAACGCATAGAGATTGCAGCATTAGCGATATCGGTTGAGATGGAAGCATGCAAGAATTTTCGTACCGCAACACGCAACAGACTCGCAAAAATTCAAAAACAAAACAATCCGAAGAGACCTCGCCGTTTGAGTGGAGAAATGCGGGTTGTGCGACGTTCGCAAGCTAGACTTGATAAATCTCTTGAGAAACTTGCAGTTAGTCTTAGTAATCATCGCTTACTAGGGAGATCTCCAAACCACTCTGGCTGCAACAGTTTTCGTTCAATAAACGTCAACAATAGGTCAGAAGAACGACAAAATGTTGGACGACCGCCCGTTCGAGTACAAGGTACTCGAACAAAAAAAAAAAAGGTGGTGGCTTAGAATATATAGATTCATCAATAATGTTGCATTCTACGAATCTGAAAATGATACCAGAAACGGAACACGACAACTGAAGTGAGGATTGATTGTGTAGGTCTGCCTTGTTCTTACTGTGGTTTCGTTGTACACAAAGCTTCTCTCTTTCTGATTCCATACTGACTTTAATGCGCGAAAAATTTTTAGTAATAAAGCTATGAAGTCGTTAGTGTTTATGTCCTTGAATCATTAATCGTAAAAATGTACAACCTATATTACTTTTACTATGTATTTTTCATTTATAAACAATAACTATGAAATGTTCGAGAAATTCTACATAATTATATTCTATCTTTTAAATTTATACTTCGTACAATTAAAATGCAATAAATATTTTGATCAGTATATGTGAACTGTCCAATATTCTTTAACGTGTTTTGGCGTACTATTTGCTTCTGTTTTATTTTGTTTTGTTAGTTGGACGTATTTAATTTTGTTATCTTGATGACTTTATAAGACACCATAGGTAGAACATAAAAAAAAAAATGGTATGTTGGAAACATGGTAAGGATGTATACAAAATTTCTATGAATTTAAGAGAATATGGGGTAATTCAAGGAGTTAGAGATCTGTATATAATTTGTGCTAAAGAGTTTGAAATTCCATTTTACTTTGCACTGGTAGAATTTATTCAAACACCTTTTTATGAGCTCGTATCAGTTGAAGTAATTTGTGGATAATTCCAGAATTGACCGAAATAATAGAACAGTCCTCGTCACCGAACAGTTCGCCTCAACGCTGTACCATTCTCCATCCCTTGTCGATCTCATCGTCCATTACTGCAAGATCTCCAATTATTTATGTTTCCACAACGAAATCACGACGGCTTAAAAATCCGTTTCTGAACAACACTGACAGCGCTACGAATGATGCTTGTTCAGCTTCACCGAATAAAAAATAAAGATACTAGATCCAAACTGAAATGCTAGGATATCCTAAGTTGTTTTTTCTTTTTTGTAAAACTTTTTCTCACTTTTACTTGCAAGTGATCCATATTGAAGGCGGTAGTTTTGTTTGTTGCTACTTTTAATTAAACGCAATAATTATTTTTTATTTAAACTCAAGAGTCTTTTCTCACTGTGCATTATCGATAGCTGCTGGCGTGTTTTATCTGTTCCCTTCTTTTTCTTTATTCGAATGATGTACTATATAAGAATATTTATCTGGTACATTTCCTGCTGTTCCAAAAATTTAATTCCTATCGTTTTGGTCGTTTAAATTGCATCTGCACTAGCACTGTTTCTGCATTTCAAGAAATTAATTTTTCAATTTGGTGCTACCTCTTTCATTTGATCATTGCATGCATATTGGTTTCCATATCTTTTGTCTTGCATTCATTTGTTTCTCTTGGTTAAGCGTTTTATCTGTACATACAAGATACCGTCTCAGTTTTATTGCATTCTCATTTCCAGCAACTTTGTAATGTTAGAGAAGTGAAAATCATTCTCCATTCGAATTTTGTTCATAAAAGAATTCTAGGAGGTGATGGACGATCAAATAGTTATCGATTCTCTATGTTTTGCTCATCTTCTGTAAAAGCAAAGACTACTTTTCTCGTTTATCAAAGCTGGAAAAGTGCAAGGCTTTTTTACTCAAACGGCTAAAGTTGGGACACTTAGTGGATAAGAGTTTTTCAGAAATTTGACTCTTAGGAAAAACATTAGTCGTTAGATGGTTAGATGTACCTGCACATGCCGGAGTCAGGCAAGAAGTAGTACTCTTCTAACCCAAAACAATTTATGTTTTTTGCCGCATTTACGTATAGTTTCCTTTGTTATCACTGTGTAGTGGAACAACTTTGTTTTCACCTAATGCTTTATTCAGCATTTAAATATCACAAGCACTGCACAGTCATGTTCGTATGGGCAACGAAGCCATCGAATCAAGTGATTTGCTATCTTCTGTTACTGTTTGCACTAAAAGTGGAAGTGACTTTTTTGCTTTGACTTCCTCTAGACTTTTTGGTCGTTGCGATGGTTTGATTTTATCTGCTGCTGATGCATTTGTTAATCGCTTTTGTATCTAAAAGGAATCAAATTTAGTAACAGTTCATTGTGAAGAAAACATTACCAAGCAAATAAAGAACTATTCTTAACACGAGGAAGTAAAAGTTTCCCACGAAGTTATGCCTTAAAAATTTCTAAAAGTAGTTTTGGTGCATAAAGCGTAAAACAAAGATTAAAAATAAATCCAAGTATGAGTAGGGTAATTGTCTTCCAAAATCTTTCGAAAATGTCTAATAAGATTTAACGGCTATGATTATCCCAAATAAGCGAGGAGTCTGCAAACGCAGGGTCCTTACTGCAACACAGTAACTGCAGGATTGAAGTTCAATCACGTGAAATCCAAATTGACAAATTCAACTAGTTCAACACACTTCCAAATATAGTGATAAAGTGTGCACCGTGAAATAATAAGCAGTATAGACTGATGCCAGATTTATGCCGTCAGCAGCTCCTTGGAAACGTTTCCAATACCATCCAACAAATCCTAGCGAGACAGCAGTGCGGTCCTGAAATTTACAAGAATATCTTTTATTTCGCTACTTTCGTTTAAATGTACTTCAATTTTTTTGAAAAAGCTACGTAAATGACTAAACAACAAAGATATGCGTCAAAAGAGATGAATTCGGTAAAAACGAGAAACTTGATAAATGTGGAATGCTTCAGTAATGAATCGGCAATTATTCTGGCAGGAGTAGATTATAAGTTTTCTTTTAGTTTAGCTTGAAACGAAAAGTAGGTAAATGACTTGCCCAAACCATCATTTGCTCGCTGCATCTAATCTGATAGCACAGTTCCTCCGCATCTCTTCTACCTAGCGAGTAATAAGTGGCGTAAGCTAGCGTGCTCAATGGCCCAACAACAAAACTTGCCAAAAGAAATCGTCCCTATAAGTGAAATGAAATTTTTGCGATGAGACTTACTGATAGCGTTATATGTCATTACAGTTCCAAACTCCGTATCCAACAACATGTGTGATTCATAATCTTTGCGTAGAAACTAATAAATCTTCGCATAGTCGAAAACAAACCAATCAAGAAAGGAAATTCAATAACTTTACAGTATTTGGAAACAGAAGTTCATCCCGTCACTCATTTCTTTACAAATGTTTTTAAACTCGTGTGAAGTCATTTAAAATACCTGCATTTTTCGACATTTGTTTCTAATTATTTTGGCTGAATTATTGGTAGTTATCTCGGGAGCTAAGTTTCGTAAAAGAAACAGCCGATATAGTGGATGTATTATACAGCCACCTAGAAGAAACGCGTCATTAAGAAAAAGGAATCAAATTAAAAATCATGGACTTTGAACAGAAAAACAAGAACGGAAACCTTGAAGAATAACATTCAAAAAGCAGCTTAATGTTGAGCATCAACAGCCAAAAGTGGTGACAGAATTCCCAGATTTATCGGTTTAAAAAAAAACTTTAAACATACCAGCAAATGACAAAAATTCAGCAGCCTTGAATGTTCCAAAAATTGTCAGTTCAATGTATGGAGATGGAACTGATATCAAATTATCCATTGTCAATTCGGAGCGATGAAACTGCGAAAAATTGTACCACCATGGTCCCAAACCGAACATTTAGAGCTATGCAAAGTACCCGACTCTTGAATTACAAAAGCGTACGTCCCACGTCACACTCCAACGTTTGACCTTCAGAAAGATCAAAAAGATCATAGCAGAGGTCCTTAATATCTTTCCAATCTGATGAATTTTGTAGGAAGGAAAGTCACCATGACCAAAGTCACCATAAATCAACAAAATTCCTAAATGAAACTGAAACTGATTTCAGCAACTTGGACTACACTTACGCAATTGCATTTGAAAAAGATTTCTTCATAGATTCCGTTTTAAAATTTCACAGAAAACAATGTCTTGAAAACTTTGGGAGTAGATAAATGGAGACACTAAATGTTTCAGTTTAAATTTTATTGTTCAACCAAAAATAAGACAGAAAAACAGGAAACAATAAAAACGATTCGCTTAAAACACCAAAACAGACAAGTATATTGAAGGAATTTCAAGTTGTTAAAAAGATCCTTATTTACTATCGTTAACGGAATCCAGTGCTTTGCGCAATTTCATCTGTTCTCGCTTGGAAAGTAAACGGCAAATCTTCTTTTTTTTTTTTATTCCATATTCTCGTTGTGCTTCCAATGCTGCCATTTCCTACAGAAATATAAGATAAAAACTGACACGAAAAGAAGGGTAAATTTTCCGATTATTGTTTAGCAAAATTAGTTGAACCCATTATACAAAATACATGATCAGGCAACGAGGTCAATTCTGCAGAATGATTATGACTTTAATGGGTAAAATCGATCAAAGAAAACAAGCTAGGACTTTTGCAATAAAAAAGGCAATATCAGTTGTACAGCGCTAATTTTTTTAGTGGACATGAGTTTAATATAAGCAGCGAGCTTACCGCAAAAGGTATTTGTCCTAAGAGAAGGTCCATAAGAACAAATCCCATCATAACTTATGTGGTTTTAATGTTGACAGTAATTAAGGAAATTCTATAAAGTTGTATGGCAGCTTTCTGTTACGATAAAAAAAAGGAACTTACTACGCGATGTTTTTTGACACGTTGTGCCATTGCTGTTCTTTCTGCCCTCACTTTTTCCGCATGCACCGTACCCAGTGTTTCCATGAATCGATTTATCTAAAGTGTCATTATAAATCATCAATTTATAGTCATCTTCAAATTACTTAGGACACCATAAAAATCAATGCAGAAAATATGAGTTTACCTTGCTTTCATGTGGCTCTAGTACAACTCCACTATACTTTTCTACAAGTTTATCACCCTTTTTCTTAATTTCTTTCACAAATTTCGGTTTTAATCGATATGGTAGCTCTTTCTGAAGTGTTTTTGGAATAAGCAACGGTGCAGGATCAAATGGTCGTCTTTCAACTGGCTGCAAAAAAATCAGAACTAGCAACGCAAAAGATATTCACAGTGCTTCAAAATTTAAAGAATGTCAAAAAAATCGTGAAAGTAAATTTCTTACCTTGTAAAAGGAATCCAACTTCATCGGTGGTTTCAAACCCATTTCGAAACGTAAGCGACCTACTGTCCGCATGCCCTCCCATTCTTGGTTCAATGATAATAAAAGATCTGTTATAGGAGTATAGAAATGAGGTACGGGTACAGATACCTGGAAAGAAAGTGTAGTGCAAATTTTTAACCTATAAAAGAAAACAAAAGTAATGTCATATTTTATCAGTAATTCCTTAGTATATACCTGATTTAAGAAACAGGCAAAAAAATTTCACTCACCCAAGCACGAAGGAAAACGATATCGCTCATGAGAATTTTATCTTCAAAAGTTGCCCGAAACGCGCCTGTAGGCTCATGTAACGCTTTTTTGATTTGACCACGAATACCACTAACTGTGCGTATAATACCACCTTCAAATTTTGCTACTTCTAAGACAGTGTTGAACATTCCCTGAAAGAGTCAGCACATATTATTTCATATCATCATATTATCATATTTGCGAAAACAATAAAGTTCAAGGAAGTTTCGTTTTCAGAAGCTGCTTTAAACGCATAAACAAACGTGAAATATTAAACAATGCAAATAAACGTATAAATAACCCCCAAAAAAACATTAAGAAACCTTGATAAAAGCCGATTTCTTGAATATCCGGTAAGGATGACCAATAAGCTTTAGTTTCTTCACAACTTGGAAGGCTTTATCCAAATTTAATACAACACCTGTTGCAGCAATCCTAAAGCCTTTCTGCAAGAAGATGAAGGTAGTATCTATCGTAGTGGTTACTTTTATGAAATTTCTTGCACTTTAAATGAATTCTTCGTTTAAAATATAATCTCATACAAAGACTAGACACTAATTTTTCTAAACATATGTATTAAAATTTTTTAAATAAAAATTTTAGTTTAAATTTCCTTATTTTAGTTATTTTAGTTTAAATCAACATATGTCATTATTTACGAACCATATCTCTATTTAGCGATTGTACTGCAAGGAATCCTGTATTCTGTGCTGTTATTGGCCCCCAGAAGACTGCCTGACAGAACATATGCTCTGGTGTGTATTTCAAGAAACGCTGTCTCATGTTGTGATCCTGTATCGAATATATGACCTGAAACCTGATTTAAAGGTTACTTAGACAACCCAAAAACAATCCGGAAAAAATTATCGAAGAAAAACCGAAAATAAAAGTTAAGGAAAATCTTAGACTTTAGGATCTTATTTCAAATCAGTAATGTTTCGAAATAAGATTCTAAAGTCTAAAATAGTTTTGGTTGAAGTTTGAGGTAATGCGTAATCACTCTCAAATATCTTTTATAATACAATTACATAATCTACAAAGTGCAAGAAGAAACAAAGACAGAAAATGACTGACAACAGTTTGAAATCGCCTCCAACCACATGATATAATCAGAGGATCTCGTGACTTCAATATCCGCTCATACCATCTGTGTTTCTTCACCCGTACCTAGAACATCGAAAATTCAATATCAATATCAAAATTCATAACTTATAAAAACCCAGTGACATGGTGAAATGAAACGCTAAAATCACTTATGAATAACATTTCTGACAAAAACCTACTTGTACAGAACCAATATTCTGTTCACCGGTCAGAAGACCACCTATAATGCAGGGTCTAGTTGGGTCGAAATGCTGTAAAAATTCTACAGGCACATCCTCGAATTCTACTCGAACATATAACCCAGGTCGAAAACCCTCTAACTGTTGTCGAGCTGTTTCATCCAGCTCTTCGAAAATTGACCTGTTGAGCTGTAAGAGATCAGTAATCCAACTTCTAATGGTTTCAATTCAAAAATTCGTTTCAGTTTTACAGTGGCACATGCTCCAATTATACTCAAACATTTTTTTTATTTTTTAAAACAATTTTTAGTTTTGTAATTAAACTACATGATAACTGAAACAGATAGTGTTCATTTAAACCAAACTAAATTCAAAGATATTACACAACTAAAATAAACATAGCACACCTTTGACTGCTCTTCAAGTTCTCCCTTCAGTTGTACATAATGTTTATTCGTCTCATCATACTCAGCGTTGAAACGACTTTTCAATTTTTCTTTGTCAATTTTTCGTCGTTCAGCTGCTTCTTCTTCACTTCTCTTTGTTGCTGTTGCTGGATCTATCTTTTCTTCAGTTAGATCAATGCGTTCAACCCTATCTTCACTAGCTGTAAAAAGAACTCAAATCAGAAATATTAAATAAACATCTAGTAAGATAATCAAAAAGAAACAAAACTTTTCTTCACTAAAAGCACCATCATTTTTATCGTTAACGCTAGAATTTCCTTTTTTACCACAAGTATGCCTTTCTGAAAAGAAAGCTGGTTATCAACTGTCGCAGTAAGATGCAAAGAAATCGATATAACATCGAAAAATAATGGTAGTTTTCCTTGGAACTACTGCATAACGTATACCTACTTTATACTATTGCTATAATTTTACTTTATAATATTACCATCTTTTAACTGTATAGTAGCGTCTTCATCAGGATTCCACTTTCCCGTAACGAAGCAATCCGCAATCGATGCACGAACCTAAATGAAACCAAACTCATAACAAACACCTTTCACTATCCACACAAATGTTTATTGACTTTCTGAGTAAATTTATCTACAATTAATAGATAATTACAGAATCGTTGTCGAATTAAATATTTAACATTTATGAACAAACCTCCAAATCGTCCCAATCTCGTTGCTTTAAAAGCTGTTGAGATGTAACTGTTGATGGTTTACAATAGAAAAAACCATCTTCCTGTAAAAATTAGTGGTATTAATAAACAATCCTTGTCTTCTGCATAATACTAAATTCAAACCGTAAACTACCAAAATAGATATTCCAACTATATGAAACGATAACTTCACAATACTAACCAAGTGATCAGCGGTTTTCCTGGTTCGAATTTGAACTTTGAAAAGGCCACCAAGTACTTCATTTTGCTTCTCTTCATTCTGGTCATGCAAGTCTGATGATTAAAATAATTATACTGTCAAATTATTCATCTTTCATTTGATAACTGAAGTCCATATTAAATTTCATTTATTTTAAGGAAGAGTATCGTAATCTAATTTAATTTTATATTACTAAAGCTAAACGTTGATCGCAGTTCAAGGCGATAGACAAACCGACATGTATTACTGAGAAGAGTGCATGTCATATAAAAGCAACAAACAACAAAAAAGAATGCGGAAATATTTATTTCGGGATACCATGCATTTATCACTGCGGAGAAAACACTAACCAGAATCAGAATACACGATTTTAGTCCAATTCACTTTCTTCGATTTTTTCTCGTTGTACAATAATTTTGCTCGCGTACAAAGTACAGACCAACGTTTAATGGCCTTTTTTTCAGTGCCTTTTCCATCATTTTCATCCTCAGATACATCACTTTCACTGTTCAAATCGTCAAAGTCACTTGACTCTTCGTCATTGCTTTCCATTTCATCTTTCGTATTACAATCTAATCATAACAAACATTTGGTTAAAAAGTTAACAACTATGCGAACTACTCATTAATAAACTGAATTTATGAAATCTTTTTTTGAGTTCTTTGAATAAATTAACTAAAACCTCTCACCATTACCATCCATTTCGCTTTCACTCTCACTATGAGGTATAGCGACTTGGGAATTTGTAATCACTTTCAATGCTGTTTTGTGCATTTTATCATCGATACCCTCCTTAACATTTCCCAACACTTCAATGAGTTCGTGCCGAGGTTTTTTATATGAATGTGAGCCACCCGTTTCAATATAAATAGCATCCTGAAGCAAAAAATCATTTGGGAAAACAAAGGTGTATAGGAACTACATAACTAAAAAACTGAATTGTCTTCCGAAAAGATGTCAACGAATTATTAGTAGTATAAAACGGTAAAAATCGTTGGGAAAGCACCGGGAAGACTTCGTAAAAGTTAGAAATATTCGTTTCAAAATAAAGCAATGCAGCTCGAGAATTCTGTTCACATGCAGTCATCAGAGCAAGTTTTCAACTGCCGCTTAACATTACCGGTCGACGCACTTACAAATTTCTCGCTTTCTCACTCACTATAGCAATAAGAAAATCGTCTGTTGTCTTTTTAAAGCCTATTGAAAAATTCTGGGATTGATCATATTTACTGATCGCAGCAGTCATGAAATAATGAATAATGATATTTAAATTTATTTGAATAAAGATATCCATGGTTAGAATGCTACCATTTCTTTTAGCTGATAAGAAAAAAATGCAACAAAAAGTTACTTTGTCGTAAACGATACCACCAAGACCAGAAAATGGAGCGTAAATAATACGCTCCTTTTCATTCAGTGAGCGTTTCATCTTTTCTTTCGATGGCAGCGGGCATGGATCCGGTAAAGCCGTCACCTAAATGATTAAAATGTTTGATTACAATCTTGTCGTTCTAACCGTTTCTAGGGATTTTATTCCTTAAAAATGAGGTTATATAAGTAAAAAAATTAGTGCTTAGTTAAGTACAAGGAAATCCAAACATACATCCTTGATCATTAAATCGCCTATTCCAGGTATATGTACAGCAGAATGATTTTTGAGGAACGTTCCACGCACCCAACCATATAACGAAATCATGCGATTCGCCAATGGCTTTTCGCGAAGTAGCTTCAAATTAAAATTCTTACACATAGGTTAACAATGCTTGAACGTAAAAGTTTCTATAATTCTGTTGTACAATCTTATTTGGAATGAACAATATGTTCAATTAGCACATATGAGCTCCACAGGAACGGAAATAAATTGTTTTATGATCACTTTTGTCAATACCTAGCACAAAATGCACAAAAGTTCACAATTCATTAATAAAAGATTTGTAATATTCGTGAATTTAATGTCCAGAATGTAATATTCAGCCAAAATAACCGAAAAGTTTTATCTTTCGCATATACTGATATACCTCTTGATCCGTTAGATCTTCGTAACGATCACAATAAACATATGGATGACTGGTTCTCCAGATTAGAGGACGAAACTTTGTGACAGATATGAAACGTGCAAGATTGCGGACTTCATTTTTTAAATATTGTTCATTGATCATCCCCGACAAATAAAATAATTTTGCACCCTACAAACATGATAAATCAGATTCTCAATCCTGAGATAAGAATGGTTAACAAACGCGGGAGGAGGAAAAAAAAATTGCAAAATAACTTATCTACAGCTATTACGTACAACAAATAAAAGGAATTACATAATGATTTCTTGGTAAGAAACTTCTGCAAGTCGTGGTTAGTTCCACTTTTTTCATTATCACTTTCTAGTATTTAGTTCCAGGTTATCAACGAATATCAGTCCTTCTTATTACGACTAAGTTTCCAGGAATATGCATGACTTAAATAACATTTTCTACTTTAAAAGATCTCCACATAACAATGAGATATTCAGACCAAACTTCAAAATAATAACCTGATAAACTTCTGTCCAAAAACGATGTTTCAGTAATTTCTTCGTATGTTTCAACTTCTCCTTTTTCTTAATTACATCAAGATGGCTAAGAACACCCATAATTCGAGGCATTCCATGCACTTGACATATATTAAGAAATTCGAATGTCTCCATTTCGAATCCATAAGAAGCATCTACCATTAGCAAAACCTAAAATTATTTCACTAATAATTCAATTAAAAATGAAAAATCAAACTTAAGAAATCAGAAAAAGAAGTACAAAATCCACCTTAGCTCCTAACAAGTTTTATACTTATATGAAATATCCTCTTATCGAAATACTCTTGAATATTAACACTTTCTAGTTTCTAAATATGACGACATAGGTTCTGTAAATTTCAAGCAAGCCAAGGAAGATATTTCATATGAAGCGTAAACAAATCACTATCCATCTGAGGGAATAGACATTAAAACATCTGTTAGTTGTGGGAAAGTCACGGAATGTATGACATAAAAGCTATCTTAGCAAGGAATCATTACTAGATTTGAGTGTTTACTGCTACGTGAAACAGTTTTTAATTTGATTTACGTTTTGCAAACATAATAGATACAGTTAGTGGGGAAAAAAAATACCAGATCAACAACTTTCGCAATATCGATCATGGATTTTAAATCATTATTAACTTCAACAAATGTTACTCGTCGAGTTTTGCCAGTAACAATGGTGATTGGTCCACGGATCTCAGTTAAGGTATGTCTCACATAATGCTTTACTAGACATCGCAGCAACGTACTTTTTCCAACCTTAAAACGCAATGGACAGGATGAAAAGACCCAACAGTTGAAGCATTCATTCAGATTACATTCAACATGAAAAAAAACCTAAACTGAATGGTTCCAACTCGTGACAATCAAGCGTTTTTTTTTAAATTCGTAGTATTTGTAATAATGAATGCATCGAGAACAAATAAATTTGAATTGTGCATACCTTTGAAGGACCAACAATAGCAACAATGACTGGTGGTAGCTCGACAGGAGTGCGATCGACTACCGGTATGTGCTTTTTCTTTTCATCCTTATCTGCTGCCCTGATAAAACTATTAATAATAAAATATTCCAAAACACGATTTTAGGAATATGATTTAGAACTATTCATTGTAAGCTACGTCCGAATTGCAAAAACAAAGCTTTTCATATCAGTTGGTTGGAATATTCACCAATTAAAAGAATTGACATAAGAAATACCTGCGAATGGCGCGACTTGCTTTAACAGCAGACTGGAATGTAAAAGCTTTAGCGTTAACTCCACTTCCTTTCTTAACAGCTTTCTTCTTCGCTTTACCACCAACTCTGTGTACTAAATAGTTCCGCATCACTAGTTTGAAAATTAATATTGGGAATAATCGAAACTAAGATTATTTTCGTGAAGGTATTCTTTTAATTTTATTACGATGTAAAAAACACCGATAATGTTCTCTGCCTCTCATTAGATAACATAAACTTTTGTGATGATTTCATTGCAAAAGGTGATAATGTAACAATGCGTAAAAAATGCAAAACATTCCACGCACTAAAAAAGCTGACTCATTTGCAAGAAGTGCAGCAGTCCACTAATGTGAACAAAAAAATAAAAGACTTCTAACGCCTTAAGCACAAATTACAGCATGGAAATACAAATCCTTCATCACCACAATAGACAACCATCAGAACTAAGCCGAACTTCGCAGTTACAGAACAGTGGCCTAACAATAAACAATCGCTTACCATACTTACAAAAATTCAACTGATTACAAACTTGTTTACTGATTACTGTAAAACAATCAACCACCACCTTCACGTGAAACTACTAATGAACATACTACCTCGATGAATTTTGTGATCCAATCTGCCAACATTTTCATTGGTTGCCATTACTTTATTCCTTTACCGAAGCAGGCTGGAAATAAGGTCTATTACAAACATTCTATTTCATTTGAAAAAATAGGGTTCATTCAACTCTTGCTGACATTTTCAATAAACAAAGTGACACGAACTCCATACTTGCCTAAGGAAGGAAGAACTATCAAGACCCATCGGGATTTGATACCCATCTCCTACACAGTCCAATTCCTGCTCATAACCTCAAAACCCATTTTAAAAGCATGAAAAGAGACAATTCACTGAGCCACGTCCTCCCTCCCCAACAAAGAAATAAAAGCTCCTGGAACCAAACACAGCATTCCCGAAAACAACACTGCTGTGAGTTGGAAAGTTTATCATGCACAAAAACATAAATGCAGTAGGAAAAAGCGTTTCTTTACAACTGAAATCAATTCCTCAAATTCTAGAAAACGAAAATTCATAACGATAAAAAGATGAGCCACATTTTTATAACAAGCGGATGACAGAAAATTGTGGGACAACAGACCGAAACATTGATCAGCCAAGCTCAACAAGATTTCAAAAATTTCTGTTACTATTACATCTCTGGAACTCAACCAATCCTGAAGAGTGAGATACATGAAACCAAGTGATTTCCGAAGACTCGCAGTTATTGTATATAACAACCAGAAATAAAGAAGACAAAAGTTACTAAAAAGTGCCATAAAGTGAACTTCTGTTTGATATTGTGGAAACTGATGCATTTCCAAATTTATAAAAATATAACAATTTCAATTGTAGATTGAATCAACAAAAAATAGATCAATGGAATTCTCTCCGCTATTTCTCATTTCAGCTATATGTACCAACCGAACATCTGACAGTTTCTTCCTAAATACAGAAGTCACATGAAATCCGGACGATTCTAGACCCAATAAAAAAGAAATGAATCTCAAACAATTAAATAAGGTTCCTTGTAGACTTCTCTCGTGCAAAGACAAATCCAAAATAGCGAGCAACCGCTTCTGTAACTTTTCTGCAGAACAAAAATTACAAGTCCACGTGGAAGAAATAAAAGCGAATCAACACAAAACGAATGGAAGGGGGTAAAACCAAGCAGTCATCAATTTCATCAGTAATTCGTGCAATAAATACAAACAAAAACGTTTTAACCCATACAAGTCTTATCCGTAATAAAAAATTGATTACTATAACAGATACACATGCAAAAGACTTCAAATGGTCTAAAACTGTAATAATAACATGAAGCAAGTAATACTGCTAAAGTTAAAATCACACAAAAAATCAAATTTCATACCAGATTGACTTTTCAAAATGTTAAGAAAGCCGAGAAGAAAATAATAAAAAGCGTGAAACACCATCCTTTCTTTCGAATAATATACAGGAAAGAGCCTGAATATAAGAAAGCTACATCAAGTGAGCAATATTGGTAGCCATAATACATAGTGATACATGATACAATGATGTTCTATTCCATAATATTTCTCATATTTCTTACATAGTTATTAACCTTTGTCCTACAGAAATCACTGTGAAAAACATCCTTGTTAAAAGCACAAGAAACTCATAACTTATTAATAAGCAAGCCATGTGAAAAAAGTAACTATCAAGAAACCTTACTTTGGAACATCGGAAAATGTAGTTAAAAATGTAGCTCCAAAATACATATGACTCTTTATGACATATATATATATATATATATATATATATATATATATATATATATATATATATATATATATACTTCTTACTT